TCTTGAGCTACGATTGCAACTGTTGCAAATATATGTATCAATACGAATAGTTAAATGTCATTTGTCAATATTTATGTTCGCATAAACGAACAGCTGTTGTTTTTTAGAATAAATGTTGTAAGGAAGGAACATAATTAAAAAATAAATGCTAGTTAGTAGCATACAAAAAAGTAATAAGATGTAAACGGTAAGCAAATCAATATTTTGCTACTATTTATGTTATTGTCTACGTTTTCACACTATTATAAATTCATAATGTCAAACTGTACTCAATTTGAGCGATTTTTAATCATTTTTATATCTTCATCACCATTCCTACTCAATATAGCGTTACTTTTAACTGACACAACGAGGTTAAAGATTTAACTAAAGAGATGTGTTAAATGATCCAAAGTTAGTTTATTTATTTATTAACTGCATCTGGTAATATAAATGTTATTTATTTTGAAATTAAGCATTTCAACTATAGAAATGGATTGATTTACATTCATATAAGTTAAAAATATTAAAATGTTATTTAACTCATAGCATTAAATTGCCATTGCTCTTTATCTAATGATGTACTGATTGATTTTTATTACTTACATCTTACTACCTTATATTTTTCTCTATATGCTTAAAACTGTGTTTCAAAATTCACTACTGATGTTGAAAATTTATAGTGCACATAAAGTAAATTATAAATTTTTAGCGCTGGCAACGAATTTTGGACAATTTAAATTAAAACTTGGCACCTTACTACATCTTATAAATTTACTATTATTTATAAATTTTTGAGATCCTTCGAAAACTTGAGTTTTATTTTAGAAAAACGAGAATGGACTTCGCAAAATTTCTGTCGACACATTCAAAGCTCGAAGATCACTGATCTTCATGAAGCGAGTAGCGCGAGAGGGATCGACGTGTACCTCATAAGTACTCTTACAAATCGGAAGGCCGTCTAATTTTCCGCACGCGAGTGATCCGATGGCACTCGAATGCACTTGGATGAATCACAGAAAATGTTAATAAAGGAAGAAATAGAATGATTCTTGGAGATAGTTAGAAATGATCATCATGATGAAAAAGATAAATTCAATGAAGAATTCTAATCGGTAATTGCGAATTGTTATCAACGTTTGCTCTACATCAAACAAAAATGTAACTTTAATTAAATTAATCACAAATAAACGGAAACGAATGATTAATTATTATTATATTAAAATATTATTATATTAAAATATGTCTAAAATATTCAATAAAAAAATGTTTTAATTATATTGATATGATATCATAAGTAAATATGTTAATTTTATTAAGAAATTATATGACTAGATGATCGAAAATTATTTCAATCTGATCAATATACATACATTTTCAAATTTACATTTTGTTAATAAATATTTTAATTATATAAACTTAATACAAAATCATTTAATATGTTTAAATAAAATTAGTTTATTATCAAATATTTTTCATATTATAAATATTTAATAAGTTTATAGGAAATCATGTATCTTGCCGCTCATTGATCAATAAGCAGTATGAAGGCGTGACAATCGAAATCAATGTAGACGAGGTGTTCGAGAAAATTATTATCATCGTGCATGCGCATTCTGAAAGCATAATTTTCGCTGTGCCACAACTCATCGACGTGTGATAAAGATTACGTAGGTATAGAATCTAATTACGCCGATAAACATTGTTGCGCCGATACACCTGCTCGTAAATAACATAGAATCAAACGTGTATCAGGTTACATCGTAATATACCCGGACTAGCAAAGAACAGGTCCTTTGAGCCCTATGAAACGTGTACCTGGGACTGCCCATATTCTGCGCGCACTTTCATTTCAGGGACGAGATGTGGAATCATCATCGTTGATTATGA